GAAACGTTTCTTCACAACCAACTGTTTTCTTACACGCTCGCCAATAAAGAATTTCCTTATCCGTACTTATCATCTCTCCTTCGAACTCCCGCTGATACAGCTGTAATTTAGTTTTCTGACTTACTTTCACTTTCAGCATGAATACAGAAAGCTAAACAAACTTAACTACAGACTAGTCACCACTAATGTGAATGGCCCCCACTGATCAGTTCATGGAAAAGCAGTAATTGTAAGATCTGTTTCAGTTACTACTTCATATTGTCACAATGTAGTTACGATAATGGGAAAGCTGTCTTTGCGCTTAAGCTCTGTATCATGAAGGCATTGAAGGAGGGGAGTGGAAATATACTTCACTCATTCTTGACTTTGAGATTAGATGCAGATGAGTGATCCTTCTTATGCTGTGCCTGCTTAACCACTCAGGAAAGAACCCCTATTATTTCCCATTGTATAGGAAGCTGCCTGGGCCCCACAGCTGGTGAAGACATGACGGTAAAGACCAAAATCACTATTCTTCCTGAGAATCAAACTCTATTCAATCAGCCAAATTTCTGAAATAACATACAGCATCAAATATGTCTGATCCCTTCATGTTTCAGAATGAACTGACCATTCAGAAATGCTGTGCTCTGCTGAGCATTCAGTCTTCCTTGCTTTTGTTCAGTAATTATGCTGTGCTATTATACGGTGATTATAAATGAAACGTGGGGTGATGGTATGAATAGCAGTCCTACACTCATTATTCTAAGAATTCTTAGCAATATAATTACTGAGTCAGTTTTTATAGCAGTAACAGTCTGGACTTGTATTTGGGAGGTACCTGGTTCTAATCTTTGATGGGCTACTGGCTAACTGAAGTGATGTCTCTTTCAGTCTCCCCTGTGCTTGCAGGTAATGTACTTTGAAACAACTGGTGACAATCTCCTTTCAGATCCTCTCATGCTCACCATTTATACTCATCTGTATAAACAACAGCACCACAAAATAACCTAAGTAATATTCAGCTTGTTGGAAGTTAGGATGGCTCAGTCAGTGCAGCAACTAGGTTATGGGCTGGACGACTGAGGAGTTGGGGTTTGTTTCTCAGTAGAGGCAAGATTTTTTTATCATTACCATAACATCCAGATCAGCTTTGGGGCCCACACATCCTATACAGTGGTTATCAGGGACTCTTTCCCCAGGGGAAGAAGCTGCAGGTGTGTGAAGCTGACCACTCACCTCCATCTAGTGCCGAGGTTAAGAATGGTGGAGCTATACCTCTGCTCCCCCACATCTTGGCATGGTGCTTAATTAATTAATTAATTAAACCCAATGATAACTTTAGCTTTTTACCTTAATAACTTGGTTAGCTGTAAAATTCCCACCAATGTAATGAGGAACTTCCAAAGGCCTAATGCTCTATGTAGACCACAATCTGAGAATCCCTGAACTACAAGAGTGTAAGTATATCTTCTTTAACTCACTGTGCATGTATTTGCATGGTGTTAATTTTGCCATCTTTGTAAAGAAACAAAAAGATTTTGAGTAAATGAGTGAATGAGATTTTTCGGATGTGGGTGACGTTAGTTTGAGGGAACAATAAGTAAATGTTGGTGAAGACCTAGAAATAACTAATTGTGGGACAAAATTAAGAAAATCGATAATGAGGTTCAGTATTTAATTGTGCTCTTCTTCCCTTCATCTGTACTAGCCAGAATTAACCAGGGAAAGGGGCACTTGTTTATATCATCCTAGACATGAATTTATGGAAGCCATGTCCTTGAATAGGAGTTCTAAAAAAATGTGTGATTGCTTTATTCATAAACAAAATTATTCTTGTGCTTGCAGTCTGTTTTAAATGTAATTTTTATGTGGATTTTCAGCATCAGGCCTGCAGCTTTTTATTGCAACGGATGGTACAACTGCACTGGGCAGCCATGAGGTGAAGAGTCAAATGCCAGCAGAAGTATTTAAGCAAGTGGTCATGGATTCAGAAAACAGGTAACACCCAAGTGGAGAAGTGGGGTGTTAGTTTAGACTGTACAGTGTCATGAGAATAAGTGTGTGTTTACCAAGACAAAATAAATGGTGGTGTAAAATGTGACATGTTTCTCTGATTGACAGAAACTGAAACAAGACAATAAACACTGTATGCCATTACATGAGGCATTAAAGTTAAAAAGAAACGGGTTGTCTTTGGTTAATTGTGATTTATATGTTGTGTGATTGATTATTTATGAGCAGTTGTGTGTTAAAGGTCTTTGTTGCCCAGGTCACTTAAGGCATTCAGTTTGATTTTTTGTTGTATGAGCAGGATACATAGCATTTATGTTTCATTGAAGACGATTATTACAGATGAATGCTTTCTGAGGTTAGTGTCAAGCGTTAGAACAATCACACTTTTGTGTAATGAATCCAGTTTTAGGAAGAAACATTGTTTGTAAAAATTA